TTCGTATAGTATTATATAGTAGGGCTAAAAACTAGAGAACCATATCTCGGAAACTAGAGATGTTACCATCACCATTTTTTTTCTATTAGTTGTTACTGACCCCTTATATACCACCCTCAAAATTTCAGACCCCAGGGTAGGGGACTTCGATGTCCCCAAGCCCGATGTTTATTCGTATAGTATTACAATATAGTAGGGCTAAAATCTAGAGGACCATATCTCGGAAACTAGAGATGGTACCATCACTATTTTTTCATAGAAGTGGTATCGAGCCCCTAGTACCCCACCCACAAAATTTCAGAACACACAGCTTATGTTTAAATTTTGAATTGCGAACTGCGTTCTAGAACGCAATTCACTTTTGAATTGCGAATAGCGAACTGCGAACTGCGTTCTAAAATCTGAACGCCAGGTAAAGTTAGGAGAACAGATTTTAAGATGATACAGATTTATAAGAATAATAAGATTGTGATATATAAGGTAAAAGAACTAGAGTCAGGTCTTCTGTTTCATTCAGTGTTTGTTATCATAATAGTAAATCTGTATAAATAGGTTCGGAGTTAGAAAACTAGTATATGAAATTATATATATATATTAGTGTTGGCAAATCGGACGATTTTTAGTAACCGTTTACTCGCTTCATCTTCCGATCGAGTACCCGGTTACTCGGATGATTTCTGGTAAAAGTATCAATATGTTTTATTTATCTTATTTTATACTTATCGGTATAAGTAATGCACAAATATACTGTATAGGGACATTTATTTACAATACACACATACGATATTGTCAAAGATTTACGATTTTAAAATAAAGAAAATTAAAAGGGAATTTGACATACAAAGACAAATAAATAGTGCATGGTGGTAGTGAATCAAATAAATACGTCATCGTCAATCACCATTTTACACTTTCTTTTTCAGCCCCCGAAATATGTCGCAACCAAGGAGAATAATTATGTACATACTCCATAATTAAATAGTTGATATGTGGAGTGTCCAATAAATGTCTGATTTCCGAATAATTTAAGCTTAGGTGATTTAACAGATTTTGAATCAGCTGTTCTTTTGTTTCAACTCCAAGCTTAATATGTCTGCGGCGGCATCTCGTTAAATTATCAAATGAGGTAATTATACGTGTCACTCAGGCCTTCATAATATGTATACCCCAAGCAATCAAAGCTATCAATTATACAAACTGTTAAAACTATTCGAAACAATTTGATTCACAACCACCATACACTAGATCAAGTCTAACGATACGTAAATTTAAGGAAATGTGTAAGTTAGTATACATTCATGAATTATAAAACATTCATTTCTATGCCTTTACTATGTAGAATTTATTTTATCCGAGTAACCGAATAGCAATTTTACTAACCGATACTCGCAACGTTCGACGGTTAACCGGTTAACCGGGTACTCGTTGCCAACACTAATATATATAGATAATTTGTCAGCTTTGTACTTATTTGATTTACAGGTATGTGCAAATTTTCCAATGTGGCATTTTTTCATTGCTTTTCTTTTCAGTCTCATCATGTATTTGTATTGTTTTGTTTATGTGCTTGTTTATTAAATGTGAAACCAAAATAACCAGAGTTGTATATTCAGCAAAGGATAATCGACAGTCGCCACAACAGTGTCAAAACCTCGATTTACAACAAATTCAAAAGTTATAGACCCCTCCCCTTTTCTGTGTTTTACATTAATTTTAACCATTTGGAAGGTGGGCTTTTATTCATTTTACCTGTAATAATCCAACACAGTAGGGATACTGCTACAATCGGAAGGCCTCTTGACATTACGTTGAAAAAAATGCATTGGGTATTTCTACAAAAGTAAATAAGTAAATTATTAAATGCCAGGAAGAGGACTTCAGTGATTTTCTTTGAAAGTAGAAAAATTAAAACCAATGTATTTTTATGTAAACAAGATGATGTGACATAAAGAGAGGGAAGTTATTCTATTCTTGTCTTTTCTTTAACAAGTTTATGTCGCCCTCGCGGCGCAGTGGATAAAGCTTCTGCTCTAGAGTCGCCTGCATGGCGCAGCGGTTAGAGCGTCTGCTCTAAAGTCGCCCGCGTGACACAGTGGTTAAAGTGTCTGCTATAGAGACGCCTGCGATGTGCAGTGGTTAGAGCGTCTGCTTTAGAGCCGCCTGCATTGTGCAGTGGTTAGAGCGTCTGCTTTAGAGCCGCCTGCGTTGTGCAGTGGTTAGAGCGTCTGCCTTAGTGCCGCCAACGTTGTGCAGTGGTTAGATGCGTCTACTTTAGAGGTGCCCGCGTGGTACAGTGGTAAGAGCGTCTGCTCTAGAGCTGCCTGCGTGGTGCAGTGGTTAGAGCGTCTATTATATAGTGGTGCAGTGGTTAGAGCGTCTGCTCTAAAGCCGTCTGCGTGGTGCAGTGGTTAGGGCGTCTGTTATAGAGCCGCCCGCGTGGTGCAGTGGTTAAAGCGTCTGCTCTTAAGCCGTCTGTGTGGTGCAGTGGTTAGGGCGTCTGTTATAGAGCCGCCCGCGTGGTGCAGTGGTTAGAGCGTCTGCTATAGAGCCGCCTGCGTTGTGCAGTGGTAAGAGCGTCTGCTTTAGAGCCGCCTGCGTTGTGCAGTGGTTAGAGCGTCTGCTTTAGAGGTCCCCGCGTGGTGCAGTGGTTAGAGGGTATGCTATAGAGTCGCCTGCGTTGTGCAGTGGTTAGAGCGTCTGCTTTAGAGCCGCCTGCGTTGTGCAGTGGTTAGAGCGTCTGCTTTAGAGCCGCCTGCGTTGTGCAGTGGTTAGAGCGTCTGCTTTAGAGGTGCCCGCGTGGTGCAGTGGTTAGAGCGTCTGCTTTAGAGGTGCCCGCGTGGTGCAGTGGTTAGAGGGTCTGCTTTAGAGTCGCCCGCGAAGTGCAGTAGTTAGAGGTCTGCCATGAAGTTGCCCGCGTGGTGCAGTGGTTGGAGCGTCTGCTATAGAGCCGCCTGCGTTGTGCACTGGTTAGAGTACGTGTCTGCTATAGAGTCGCAAAGTATAACGAAGTGATCCAGTTCAATGTCTTTGAGTGCTAAGTATAGGACAAAATTTGGAGCTCTCCTCTGGTTATCGATGACTTTTCAATATGAGAGAAAAATTCTCGAGAAGCACTGCACGTTGAACAATATATAGAATCATTAAAATGTATATCACGCTATTCTAGAATAATTATCTTAAATGAAATTTGTCCTAAATGAAATGCATATATATCGTGCTTTTTAATATTTTAGAATAATTTTTGAAAAAGTGCGATTTGTGTTAACTTTGGGCTTTGTGCAAGACTAAAGCTAAGGTATTGTTTTATTTTGTGTATTTGCCTATTTGGGGTCATTGACTGTAGTTATTTATAAAAAGGAGGAGTTGTTTTAAATATTTCATGTACAATCAAACCATTGCTTAGCGTTTAATTTACATCATCCTTTTAACAAACTTGCAAGGATATCAATATGCTTTCCCCCTTACAAGCATTTCAAAGGCAATGACTGATTGATGCCACAGGAAGTGTTGATATTTAACTTGTGTCTTTCAATTTGAACAACAATTATCAACAAAATAAAACTTAGTAACAAACTTTTTTGAAAATTAATACGAGGAGACTTTTTATTTACGCGGAAATGCGGCCTCTGAACACCTTAACAACCTCCCATGACAAAAGAGTGCCTGCTTTTATTTTGTTTAAACAATGTTTTTCCTCATTAGCGTACATCTCATTGTTTCCTAGGTAACATAAAAACAGCAATTTAATTGATAACTTCTACACTAGTGCTCACTATTTAGTTTGTAAATCTTTTGTTTTAAATATATTTTAATCAGGTCAATGTTTCTCTCAATTACATTTTTGTTAAGATCTACATAAAAATCTTGAGATTTTTCAATATTTTATTTCGAGCATAGGCGTCGGAAGCAAATTGAGAGTAGGGGGGGAGGGCTAAACCAACAAAAAAAGGGTAACTCCCAATTTTAAATGCCTATACTATGTCTATCTTTGCAAGCCCCCCCCCCCCCCCCCCGCCTCGTTTCTGACGCCTATGGCGAGAAAAAAAAACTTTTTAAAGTCACTGTCGATTCAGCCATCAGTTGCCGGTGGAGAGCTTCAAATTTTCTTCTAGCTAGCCTCGACACTTACGGAGGTTGAGCAGGGGGGATCTATTTCTCTACAGCACCTATTGCGACACGGGACCTCGGTTTATACAATCTCATCAGAGAAAAAGGTCTCCACGTCCCAAAGTGAGATTCGAACAGGCGACCTAAGGATCGACGCCCTTACTTCCAGACTCTAGAACTGACGTTGTAACCACTGCGCGGGCGGCTGAGTATTGATAGAATGATCAGATAATGAAACTCTTCTTGTATTTCATTGCTCATCTCTCACCAGTTAAATGTACTTGCGGCCTTTGCTAATATGAGTATATGTAGTGTGTTATTATTCAAACAACGTCAGTAACTGTATATTTATGTATTGGCTAGAGGAGCAACCCTTCGGTGACCTACTTTCCCTTCCACCTTCATCTCTCTTACATTTCATTCAACAATCATTAATAAATTTTAAAATATAACAGCGAATTAATACAAAAAAATAGTAAGTTATTGTGTTTTGTAAGCAAATGAAGGGTCGTTTTTTTTTCTTTTAATAATGAAATTTAACACAATATGTTTTTTAAGGAACACTAGAAGAACCTGTAAGTTGTAACAGCTTGTTTCTGACTCTTTTGTAATAAAGATAGCAGTAAATATGTTCAAATGATAAATATTTATCGCTACATGTGTTTTACGTGTGCCTGAAAACACGTGTATACATAAAACACGCGAAGCGGCCGTACAAGTTGACAACAGGCGGTATTGTCCGCAACATAAGGTGAGGAGTATGACAATAGTCAGTATGACTGGATCACACCAAGAAAATAATTTCATCATTAAAAGGAAATAGACGTGTTGTCATTGACTAAAAACAGTAATCTTACTTTGTTACCACTAAATTTTTTATTCAATCATTGGATTTATTCAATCTTAATTGCTGTATAAAAATATAAGAGGAGATGGGGGATGGGAGGGCGAGAAAGAGAGATAAGATAGGAGGGAGGGGGTAGAAGTAAGATAGGAGGGAGGGGGTAGAAGTAAGATAGGAGGGAGGGGGTAGAAGTAAGATAGGAGGGAGGGGGTAGAGGTAAGATAGGAGGGAGGGAGTAGAAGTAAGATAGGAGGGAGGGGGTAGAAGTAAGATAGGAGGGAGGGGGTAGAAGTAAGATAGGAGGGAGGGGGTAGAAGTAAGATAGGAGGGAGGGGGTAGAAGTAAGATAGGAGGGAGGGGGTAGAAGTAAGATAGGAGGTAGGGGGTAGAAGTAAGATAGGAGGGAGGGGGTAGAAGTAAGATAGGAGGGAGGGGGTAGAAGTAAGATAGGAGGGAGGGGGTAGAAGAAAGATAGGAGGGAGGGGGTAGAAGTAAGATAGGAGGGAGGGGGTAGAAGTAAGATAGGAGGGAGGGGGTAGAAGTAAGATAGGAGGGAGGGGGTAGAAGTAAGATAGGAGGGAGGGGGTAGCAGTAAGATAGGAGGGGGTAGAGGATAGGAAGGAGGGGGTAGAAGTAAGATAGGAGGGAGGGGGTAGAAGTAAGATAGGAAGGAGGGGGTAGCAGTAAGATAGGAGGGAGGGGGTAGAAGTAAGATAGGAGGGAGGGGGTAGAAGTAAGATAGGAGGGAGGGGGTAGAAGTAAGATAGGAGGGAGGGGGTAGAAGTAAGATAGGAGGGAAAAGGAAAAAGAGATAAGAGAGAGGAAGATTTACATAGACGGTAAGATTAAGAAGCCACGAGGGGGACCCCCCCCCCCTTACTTCTGCCATACATTAAATTTTACTTGTAAAAATGTACATGGAAAGGCTGGAAGTCTCCCCAACTTTTTGTTGCAGTAAGGTCAAATAGGAGTACATCTAATGTATTATATATGAAAAAGAAATTGGTATTGAAAATAAAAAAAATGCCAATTCCCCCGAATTTTTTAAACAAGTTTACTTTTTTGGTTTGTCAGGCAGGAAGGTTATTTTTTATATGATCCCCCTCCTTTCCCACTTCCTACACTTAAAGACACGATGTTACGTCACTGAGAAGGAGATAGTTGGTGGAAGAACCTAAATCGGAGAGAGACAACAAAGGAGAGAGAGAGAAAAGAAAGAATGAGAGAGGTAAGAAAGAATGAGAGAGAAAAAAGAATGAGAGAGAGAAGAAAGAAAAAGAGGGAGAGAGAGAAGAAAGAATGAGAGAGAAGAAAGAATGAGAGAGAAGAAAGAATGATTGTTTTAAGAAAGAATGGGAGAGAAGAAAGAATGAGAGGGAAAAGAAAGAACGAATGAGAGAGATAGAGGAGTCAGTCGTCAATGATAGATTCTGGTTGTCAGACGGCCGTCATATTAAACACCGCTCTATAAATAACCACGATTCATTCAAAAAGAGTACAAGAATAGATAAAGTATGATCAGAGATCCCAACAAAAGGAACTTAATAAGTGTTTCGTGAAGAGAGAGAGAGAGAGAGAGAGAGAGAGAGAGAGAAAGAGATAGGGAAGGAGAGAGAGAGGGGGAGAGACAGAGAGAGTGTGGTGTTATAATGACAGATACGGTATAACGAAGTGGTTCGGAAATCTTTACTTTGTGAAGAAAGGAAGGACATTTTTTTAGCGTAATGATATATTATATGAGATATATTAAGAGTCAATAGGAAGATAGATATACGCTTACTGTTTTGTTCCTGACATCAGATTTTCTCGTGAAAATTTTTATACATGTATATAATGGATAAAAAAAAATAATAAAGCATGCTTTTTATTTCCTAAAATGTTACCTTTTGTATAACTCACCTACCTAACGTACTTTACATGATAACAGCTAAACTGACTTAATTTTTTTTTATTTCAACTCAATTTCTACTTGTTCACTTTTAAAAATGATGTCCTTTCATTTTTTCTTCACTTTCAAGAGATTTTTTTCACACAAAACTGTGTTGAATCTTACCCAGGAGCTTTATGCCAGTGGAACTTTACGTCAGTGTATTCACGTTAAGTTCTTAAAATTAGGTTCAAATTACGTATATCATTATAATAATACTTTTCTGTATTGACAGGTTATAAAGTTGTTGAAAAAAGAGAAAATGTGTTTTTTCTGATTTTGATTCCACGCTAATTAAATATGTTTGATATTTAAGAATGTCACTTTCAGGTACCATTCACGTATTCAGCAGATATTAAATTTGTTATTGTCAAGTTGATAAAAGAGGTAAAGCCACGAACCATCATATTTGGCCCTGTGTTTTTCACAAAAATCGAGTTTCTATTCATGGCTGGTATTATACGTTAATTATTAGAGGACAACATACTTCTTTTCCTTACGTAATTCATTTTATTAAATAATGCGCTGTTCGGCACGTGCGATGGTTTGAAGATACAACAGTTTCATAAAAACGTTCAAAAATGCCCATTTTTCGACAGATTTTCCCTAAATTTAGTGTGGCCACTGCCAAGAACAACTTTCATACTTACCATATGTATAAATATCGCTAATACAAATCTACACGCTTAATATAATCGTTGTTCATACGTGTGGCCAATATGAAATATGACTTTACTTTTAAATTTTGATGTCGCAAAGATTCACCAGTTTTGTGAAACATTCGGTAATATTTGGTTTATATAGCAATAGTTGCATAAAAATTACACACAATATATTTTTTAAAAAGTCAGTAGTTCGTTTGAAACGATATTTGTGGAGAGGCATGATCTCCGATTTATATTATCTGAATTTAAAACTCAAAAAACATATGTTACATTTCTCTTTGAACATGACGTTAAAAGTAATACATACTAGATAATTACCCGCGCAAGCGCGGGAAATTGAATTTATACATAGAACTTTACCATTTACAACAGTTGTAGATTTTACTGACAGACTACAGACTTATAGAGGGAAGAAATGCTTTGTTCAAAAGTCCGCATGAAAGAAATGTACGTCACCATTCCCAACCACTTTTTATGAAGACTTGAAAAATAAAAAATGCTTTAATTGACGTTTATGTGTTCAAAACTTCGTACAATGTTATGGATATTGCACTTCAAATGTTCTTATTCTATTTTCTTGAAGGATAAAAGCAACGAATATACATAATATACAAATAAATTGATTTTGGGGAGTTGGGGGAGGGGTAAAAATTCACAGGTACATGGGTCTTGGTTTATAATTATATAATTATGTACCCTTATCAATACGTAAAAAGGCTGCCTCCCCCCCCCCCCCACTTTTTTTCCCACCAATACTTTTACTATTGGAAATGTTCAGTGAAAGGCTGGTCCCCCCCCCCTCCTCTAATACTACAGGAAATTCATATAAGGGAAATGTACTGTTGAATACCAAAAATTTGGTTCTGAAAGAAGTTGGCATTGGAGAAAGACTCTTTTTTTAGAGAGAAAAAAAAAACTGAAATGTCTTTATTAAAACACAAAACTTCGTAGCTGTAATTAATTGTATTTGAACAATACCTTATTCGTAAGTTTTCTTTCTTATTGAACGCAATTAAGGTGATTACAAATTGTACGTCGGGTTTGTTACCACGATACTCTCAGTACGGAAAATACAGTTTTTACCTATAAACTCATAACAAAAACATATATATACACTACATATATATTTTCATTCGATATAGATCTAAGTATTTCCAGTTTTTAAAATATTCTCATTTGTCATTCACTCGTCGTCAACTTTTGATACCTCGCTGTCCAATGGCCATAGATTAAATCAGATACTCATACTATCCAATGCTTCCTCGCCATGTACCATTTGTCTAGTTATATAATCCATGTATCAATAAATATTAGTTTTTTTCCCCGGCAACAATATGTTTCTGATAAATTCCAAGCATATTTTGCTCGTTTTTACAAAACTATTGTTTTTATTGTATTTAAATTTATGTAACATCATTTGTTGTAAAACTATTTAATCAAATAACCCGTTAATTACAATATTTATAATTATTTCTTGATTAAAACAATGTAGCAAAAGGGACGTGATGTTCTAGAAGCTTCCGTCAATATTGAGATCGGCGATTGACGAAAATAATTTACACTTTTCGCCTTTTAACTGGTAACCACAACTTATTTCTTTGATATCAATTAAATCAAGTTTTGATTGAATAATTCAATGATGACATTTTATGAAATAAATAATAGATTGTTTGTTGTCAGTTTCATTAAAATTTGTCAGTAGTTTAGATCCACCAACCGGAAACGCCACAATACTCACGTTGATGCTATTTCATGGCTGTTTTCAGAAAATTGAAGTAGACTTTTAATTTATTGTACGATACTTATTATCCGAGTGAAATCTAAATATACTTTACGGACATCATCTTGTATGTAGTGTAGTATTAGAGGGGTAAGTAAGAACTCTTGTGCATCCGTTTCGGAGTTTATTTGCAAAATTTATTAATTTAGAAATATAGATACGTCAATTGTGACGTCATAAAGACTGTAATTATTTTAGATGGTGCTCGTTCCAATAATTGATTTTTTTAAGATGAATCACTTAGCTGATTTTACTCGATATCATTAAATTATTAACAGAGGTCTATTTCTATTAACTCCAATTTCATCCCCTTTCAATCTCCTGTTTTCGTTTAATATTATATATTTAAAGCTGTACACTATCTCTGTTTTAATTAATTCAATTATAGGATACTACTGTTATTCTAAAGACAAATCTTAATACAGTACTGCTTTACATGATTACCGGATCTAGATTTTTTTAGAGGGGGGGGGGTTGAATAGGAATAGAGTTGTTATAACGTGCACTTACAGAAAGATATAAAGATCCAGGGATGTAGTATCGTTTTAAAAGTGGGAGAGTCATCAGACTGGGAAAAAATTATGAACTTAGAGAAAGAAAGGAGAATAAATCTAAAATCTCCGAACCCGTAAATCCAATTTTGTTTTCACAATCGAATTTCTACATATGTAACTGCATGAGCCTTTCAATGAAATAAGCACAACAAAAATTTGGGACTCCTTTTAGGCAAATTCAAAGAATGCCCCCCCCCCCTTTCTGGATTCAAAGAAACAAAATCTTGAACTTGGATGAGTATATGTCAATTTCAAGTTCCTTATAATAGAGTCAGCGCTGTTACATATTATAGCCGCAATTTACATACGTACCGGTATATCAGCCATCGATCTATTTTTCTTTCAAACAAAATCTTCTGAGATAATTTTATGCAGGTGTAGAATAGTAAATTTTCATCCTGCTTCAAAAGCAAAAATCTTATTAATGATGATGTGCGTAGCTTCGCACTGAGGATGTCGATGTATGTACATATGTATACTGTATACTGATATTTTCATCAATATATATTTCAAACAATTATAATTCCATTTGGTCAAAATATTAGCTGCAGATCTGTAGCTATCCGAAAAAATATATATTGATAGACCGGATAGCTACAGTGCCATCCATTAAAAAAACTGTATATTCATTGCGCACAAAAATTTCAGAAAAAAGTTCTGTGTTTTGTTCTGCAAAAAAATAAATTATGTACTGTTGAGAAACTGACAATCAAAATAAAGTAACATATTCATTTTACATAACTGTACTAAAAAATCACACATCCAGTTTAAATTACTGTACTGACAATTGAATTTGTGCAAAAACTCTGAATGAATAACATTTAAAGCCAAGAATGCTTGCATGTTCATCTATAAATCTCCAAGATATTTACTAGTTAGTTTGTAGCGCCGCATCAGGCAGTCTTATAACACATTTCATAATGTCAGTTTGCATGAATAAATCAATTTATCTTTGTTCCTCATATCTTGCCGAAATTCTAGTCTACAGTTTATTTACACAGCACATCACAAATTCAGGAAAAATAATTAACTAAAAATAAAATCCAAGTTAAATAATCTCATGTACATATAAATCCAAGAAATATTAGGTTATATTCCAAGTAAGTAAGTAACTTTATCTATCTCTAACAGTTCTATCTACGAAGTCTTCTATATTTCCATCTTCCCATCTTATTCTAAAATTCTGTCGCACTATATATATACTCAAGATCCACTCCTGACGATCAGGAGCACATTACATGTATAAGATCCTTAAGATCAGGAATCAATACACAAGTCATTACAATCAGCAGGGGGTTATATAAGAGGGGGAAATTAATATACAGATAAGATGATAATGTGTGAACAATTAAGTATTGAAGAGTTATATTACAGATAAGATATTCTAAATCGCTACAAGTTTACAAATTTTTTATCATATCATTGATAACAGTACATTTTCTTGATCATGACATCTGTTTTGGATTCCCCTCTCTGACATCTTTTCTTGTTCACCAATTAGTTAAACAGTCATCTGGGTACTCAGGTGTTGTACAAGTCCTAATAATAATAATTTTCAAAATTATAAAGAAAATAAAATACAATTTTTAAATAGGTTTTCATTACTTCTATTGAAATAAAGCACAAGCTTTTGAAGACAAACTTAAGTAACAACACATGTATAACTAAACATAATGGAAATTTAGACAAAGCGACTCAATGTCAAACATATGATAGTGATACATCTGTAATATCCATGAAACTTACTGAGATACTTAAAATGTTTATGGTGTGCTTTCACTAAGCTTAGCAGTATATAAACATCTCTTGAAAAAATGTTGAAGTCCAATCCTCACCTGACTTGCACATTCATATGGATTGGTTCTATGTTGATATACTCTTTCAACAATCTTCATCACAACATCAGAAAGTCATCCATCTTCAAAATTAAATCTGACGCTCACCTCTCAAGTGTATATAGACTCCCTGTACAAATGCATGGAAAATAAGATTTTGAATAAAAAATGAATTATCTCCATATCACCATACCTGGCCTTTTTAAAAATGTGAGGAAATATTTTAAATACTTTTCTTTAGATAAAATCATGTAGTAAGTATCCAACAATGTTGAAAAAAAACTTATCTCTAGAATTTTACATTTATACTGAATGTTAAAAAAAAAATCAAAAGACATTACCTAAAATGGAAATAAAGTACAACTGTGACTGGTGTCTCAGGCACAACCAATGTACACAAGACCTTTCCATCCTTAGCAGCATGCATTAACTCCACATTCCTTGCTTCTACAAAAATATAGAATGAAAATTTGTTAAAAAATGACAGCGAAGCTTTATATTGAATGAAAAATGCATTGTTCCTCTACTTAAAAAAAAATCAAAAGGCATTACCTAAAATGGAAATAAGGTACAACTGTGACTGGTGTCTCAGGAACAACCAATAAACACAAGAACTTTCCATCCTTAGCAGCATGCATTAGCTCCACATTCCTTGCTTCTGCAAAAAAAAATACAATGAATATTTTTAAAAAATGAGAGCGAAGAGTGTAACCTGTACTTCGGGGAACAGAGGAAGGAATTTTGAAGTCAGATTAGTTATATTTCTGCCAGTGTTGGCAGGGGCATAGTATCCGGGGGACCAGGGGGGCTCCCCCCCGACACTTTTTTTCCAAAACTAACATACACTATTAGAAATGTACCAAAAATGTAGTATAAGAATTGGAACTAAATATAGTTGTCACTGAGAAAAAGTTAACCCCCCCTTAACTCCCCCCTTTATTGCCTCCCCCCCCCCCACTTTCAAAAAATAAAAAAAAAGATGCTACGCCACTGGTTGGGACGGATAAATTTTCATAAATAAATGAAACAAATTATGCGCTTTCGTATGATACAAACAAACCTTTGTCAAAGAATTTGAAAATAACAACTTGGGCCATGTTTAAGGGTTTTCATTGCGCAACATTTCGCACACCATAGTAAAATGAAGCGTGTTTACTGTTTTTGAGCATTTTTTTTCGCTCAATTAATAAAATTAAACAAACTTTAAAAAAAAGTTTAGAATGTAATTAGAATTCTTTAAAACTGATTTTTTAACGATTTTGAAATTGATAGGTCAATTAACGTCGTTACAGTGTCTTTTTGACGTTTGTGTAAACTAAAGTTCTTTTTAAAAGGGTTAATAAAATGTTATTTAAGAAAAAGTAATAAAGATACGCTTTTGAAATTTAAAACAGAAATTTGAGAACATCTCCATTAATTTAAGTATGTTTTCCTACAAATCCTTTGTGCCCGTCATATTTTGTAGTACTCTATAGAAATAGGAACATTCGTTAATTTTTGGCATTTTTAGATGTCCCCTCTGGTAACAAGCTTAAGACGGTAGAATGTTTGATTTCTTACATATAATGTACAATACAGTAAAACTCATAAAATATTTTAGTTTGAACAAAAAGTATATTGTAGTATTTGTATAATTTGCTTTAAAGTGCGAAAATTGGAATTTTCCTATATAATCCCATGGTTTAATGTATTTGAGACGGTCCCTTAAAAATAACTGGACGGTAGATTTTCCCCAAACTGTGCATGTGCATTAAACTTATAATTAATGTAAATTATTCATGGTATAAAAATGAAGAGTTTCGCTATTGTAGTTTTCACACTATAAAATCATAGCCCCCCCCCCCCCCCCCCATAAATGAGTAATATGATTAAGTTTCACTGCGTAGTTTTTAAAAATGGAATGAAAAATGAAAAAATAATTGTATACATTAATAAGGATGGTTTTAGAAGAGCAGATCTTTGAACAACACAGAAGTTTACAATTTCTTTATATTCTAGAAATATATTATATGCATCTGTTGTGAGGTGTGTTGTATTTGTATTATTTCATCATGTATATTATTAGTAACATTAAGTTTCTTGAACATTCCAGAGTGGTCCATATGTTTAGTCATTTTTTCTAGAACATTCTTGAACTTTGTGTATGTCCAGAACTTTCCAGTAATATCATGTACTTACAACTTCTAGAATATTCTAGATTTATATTACTGTATAAATATCCTGTCAATTCGATGCATAAACAATTGTCGTACAAGCATCACTGAGGTATTACTGGGATATAATTTCACTGGGACATTGTGTGCAGCAACGGACACTCTGATGTATGTATTTTTAGATTTTTGCTAAGTTTGTACTTAATGATTTGTATATTACTGTAAATAAATTATTGTTAAGTTTAAACTGTGTGATTGATCTTTGCTGGCATTTAGGGTTATTCTGACCCATAACAGAATTGGGGGCTCGTCCGGGATCAAGAATTTCTTGCACTTTTGCAGTTCATTGTCAGAATTTTGTTAATTAAATTGTTAAATTTGACTATAAGCCAGCAAAAATCAACATGGTATTTTCGGTCACAAACTTTCTTAGTTCGCCAAGTGTTCAGGTTTTTGATACGTTAAAAAAGGATGACTTGATCGCATTAGGTTTGCATTTTGGGTTAGATGTTAAATCCTCTCAGAAAAAGCAAGACATTAGAATTAAGGTTGCAAACAAACTAGTAGATGAAAACATTTTTGAAAAATACGATCTTCCAGAATATACGGTTAAATCAGAATTAGGCTCTTACAAAATGACAGAATATCAGTTTCAATTAGAGTTAGAGAAAATGCGATTTGAAAGAGAAGAGCGAGAAAGAGAGAGAGAAGAACGAGAGCGTGAACGGAAATTTGAATTAGACAAATTAGAAAGACAAGAGCACTTTGAGTTAGAGAAATTAAGATTGCAGCACCAACCAGAACTGTCATTTGTCAAGAATGAATTTGACGCAGCAAAAAATATTAGGTTAGTTCCGAAATTTCAAGAAAAATCTGTAGACAAATATTTTCCCCAATTCGAGAAAGTCGCAGAAAATCTTAAATGGCCACAACATGTTTGGTCAACAATGTTACAAAGTGTACTGGTTGGCAAAGCAGCTGAGGTATACTCTGCACTAGGGGTAGTTGAGAGTTCAGACTATGAGAAGGTCAAAGCAGCAATATTAAAAGCATATGAATTAGTACCTGAAGCGTATAGACAAAAGTTCAGAAAGTATAGAAAGTTTGATAATCAAACATTTGTTGAATTTTCACGAGAGAAAGAAGATTTATTTGATCACTGGTTTAGATCTAAGAAACTTGATAAAACCATTGCTAATTTGCGCCAAGTCATCCTGGTAGAAGAGTTTAAGGAATGTGTTACTCAAGATTTGAAAACACATCTAGAAGATAAGAATGTGAAAACTCTTGAAGAGGCAGCAGTCATATCTGATACTTATGCTCTGTCTCATAAAAAGAATTTTGTATCAAGATCTCAGACTAGCAGTAATTCTACAAATTCAGACACATATAAAAAGAGTGGTTCAGGGTCTCAGTCTTTCACAAGTTCCCAGTCTCCATCCCAAGGTGGTTCTAAGTCCGGTCCAGGACGTTTTGAAGGATCTTCTGGAATAGGGTCACTTCCTACTTGTAGTTATTGTAAGAAAAAAGGTCATCTGATCAGTGAATGCTTTAAACTTAAGAGAAAAAATGACTTTGATAAAACTCAGCCACATGCTTGTGCTGCAGTTAGAGGTGATAGAGAAACCTTAGGTTCGATTTGTTCTGACACTCCTGATGTCCAGGGTTCACAGTCCAGTTCTATTGATTCTATGGAGGATTATAAGCCCTTTATGTCTCAGGGATTTGTTTCACTCGGTGACTCTAGCGAAATAAAACCTGTCCAGATTTTGAGAGATACTGGTGCTGCACAGACGTTATTGTTAGAGGGCGTGCTTCCTTTGTCTGAGCAGACTTCTACTGGTGGGTCAGTTTTGTTACAGGGTGTGGAGCTAGGCGTCATTGATGTTCCCCTGCATAGAATTAGTTTGAAGTCAGATTTAGTTACTGGACCTGTTATCGTAGGTGTTCGACCTACTCTTCCCGTTCCAGGCATTTCTTTGTTGTTAGGCAACGATTTAGCTGGTGGAAAAGTTGTACCAGATCCTATAGTTTGTGAGAAAATCACTCCAGATGTTATGTGCGATGATGAAGATGATGACATTTATCCAGCCTGTGCTGTTACCAGAGCGATGGCCAGAAGACGAGAAATGGAGGCAGACCATACTCAAGCCTTTGACGAGACGAATTCCTCTGTTGATATTGATTTGAATGACACTTTCTTATCTGACCTTGATGGCACTCAAACAAGCATGGAACCACAAAATATCAAGATGTCGGTGACAAATGAACCTTTACCAAAATTTAGTGGTGATGAAGATGAGTCAAACCTACCAGAAAGCCAAGACAAGGATATCATAAGTCGAGAGCAGTTACTTTCAGCACAACATAAAGACCCAGATATCATTCAACTTAGTAAGAGGGCACTTCCACCAGAAGAGGCTACTAAAGTTGGAGAATGCTTCTATATGAAAGATGGCATCCTTATGCGAAAATGGCGACCACCTGACGCTCCCCCAGATGAAGTGTGGCGTGTTGTTCACCAGATAGTGGTCCCAGCTGCTTATCGTCGAGATGTCATGAGTTTAGCTCACGATACATGTACACCTATGGCTGGTCATTTAGGTATCAATAAGACTTATAATAGGATTTTGAGTCATTTTTATTGGCCTAAGCTAAGGAAGGATGTTTCTGAGTTTTGTAAGTCGTGTCATGTCTGTCAGATGGTAGGTAAACCGAATCAGAAGATACCATCCGCCCCTCTCCAACTAATTCCAGCTTTTGAAGAACCGTTTAGTCGAGTGTTGGTGGATTGTGTAGGACCTTTGCCTAGGACCAGATCTGGGAACCAGTATTTACTTACCATTATGTGTACATCCACTCGATTCCCTGAAGCCATACCTCTTAGGAATATAAAGGCAAAGAGCATAGTTAAGGCCCTAACCAAGTTCTTCAGTTTTGTAGGAGCACCAAAGGCAATTCAGTCGGATCAAGGCTAAAATTTTATGTCGGGGTTGTTCCAGCAAGTCATGCATGAGTTGGGTATAAGGCAATATAGATCAACTGCTTATCATCCTGAGTCCCAGGGAGCGCTAGAACGTTTTCATCAAACCCTAAAAACAATGCTGAAGACCTATTGTTACCAGTATGAAAAAGACTGGGATGAGGGGGTTCATCTTGTACTATTTGCTGCACGAGAAGCAGTCCAGGAGTCTCTTGGGTTCAGTCCTTTTGAATTGGTGTTCGGTCATACAGTTAGAGGTCCTTTGAAATTGTTGAAGGAAAAGTGGCTGACTGAGACTAGTGATCTTAATCTTTTAGATTATGTGTCTGATTTCAAAGAAAAACTTTACAATGCTTGTAAATTAGCACAAGAAAATTTGAAGAGTTCTCAGATGAAAATGAAAATGTGGTATGACAAAGATGCCAGAAATAGGGTGTTTAAGCCAGGCGATAAGGTTCTTGTATTTTTACCTATACCTGGTCATCCTTTACAAGCCAGATTTTATGGCCCTTATGAAATTGAAAGCAAGATCAGTGATGTAAACTATGTAGTTAAGACACCAGGTCGACGTAAAGAGAAACGGGTTTGTCACATTAACATGTTAAAAGAGTATTTTGAAAGGTGTGACCGAAATTTTGTAAAACCAGTTTCCACTTTAGCCAATGCTAAGACTGTTCAAAATTGTAT